CATCTCATTTTCAAACGTCTCCATCAGACAGTACGTGAAAAATAAAAAATAAAAATTACAAACATATATATTTTGGGAAGTTTATTTTATTGGTAATTATTTACATGCCTTTAAAGTGGAAGACTAAAATCCAATATACAGCTTAGTGCTAACACTGAATGTCGTTGATGCAAAGCATACAGTTTACTCATTTACAATTTCTTGTCAGCTCAAAGATATTAGATTGCATTTATCACCAAATCAGTGACAGTTGTTTTGTTTGAATGTTCTATTGCAATTCCATTACATGGCAAGCCTCGTTCGTTACCAAGTGTTCGTGAATTGTATTATGAAATTGTGAACATTACTTTACATGAAACGATATAATCATATTTGATGTTTAGTCTGATCGAAGCTCCATTAGTGCTATCAGTTTGATACAGTCATCATATACACTGATATCTTAGATGTGATCGGTAACATATGGGACCATAGAGCTTAGACTTGACCAACAAATACATATCAAATACATCAGTCGAGATTTATGTACATGAATAATTATCTCAATTATATATACATTTTCTCCATGATATATACATTTTCTCAATTATATATACTTTTTTTCAATTATTTACACATTTTTGTTTTGTGATTACATAACAAGTACGACCTATATACAATTCACATACACAGATGGACAAATAGTTAATGATTCGTATTACCATTCATCGTTTTCATTAAACATTAAACATGTGGATGATCTGGTTTTCTCCAATACTATGTTTCCCTGGAAATATATTAAGGGAATTTCAGTTTAGCAACGTGATCATTGTTAGTATACTCTAATCTATTTAAATTTTGATTACAATCTAAAAATAAAGACTACCGTATATTATTATAACTTCACAACACATGAAACAATCCATGAAAAAAAAATGTGTCAATTAGCAAATAAAGAAGAGCATAACGTATATCAAAACATCACGGCCAGATAGACAACTTAAATAACTATTTTAAATGTGTACGTTTTCCTTTTATTCATTGTTTTTTCCACTTTCCATTTCGCTAAGGGCCAAACAGGTTATCCTGATTTTAACATTACGTGTACGTTGAATTTACAACATCATACCATTATTAATATAGCTACAAACGTCTTGAAACGGCCGAGTAACGATTTAACGATAATTGGATTATAATTATTGTGACATAAACGTACGAAGGTGGGTCTACATTTACATGCATAATATCCTTTCGACAAAAATAGACTACATGAATTTACATTTACACACGAATACAATCAAAGTTACTGAAATCAGAAGCAAGTGAATTACAACCACTATTTTAGACCAGTCCTTTTTAAGCTACTCCTTTGCTACGATTATCTGCCTGGGGCCCACACAAACGTGTGCTTATGTCACACTTAATCCATGCATTGTTAAGTTTTGAAAGTTACTATGCATAACAGAGGTGCATTGTTCGAATATGTTGGATAACAAACAAAAACTTCAACATTTATAAAGCTTCAGATAATCACAATAGTCCTTGACTGAATTTGCATTCCGCATACCATACATGTAAAAGCAGGACTGCAAGGGTGACATAATAACCATTGGTTCTCGAAAAGCCAAAAGCTACAGTTTTATCGACTATAGAAACTGAGACGGTAACCACATTCGTTGACTCAGATGTTTCTATCTAGGGATGACATTATAGTCTTGGCGTTTTGGAAAAGAATAGATGACCACTTTCAACCGGTATTGAATATTTGTATTTTTTGTTGAATTATTTTTGCTCTGGAAGAAAGAAAATATCGTCATGTTCAATAGATGGAGATCTAGGAGGCGTCCTCGAAAAAGGGTAAGCTCACAACTTATCTATTTGTGTGTGAGTTTTTCAAATGATCATACTTAAATTCAATACCCATGATAATAGGCTTCTGTAGCTGCAAAGTTTTTGCAAAGTTATGGGCTAGAGCGGCCCCAAATCACGGTACAAAAGAGTGAGTGCACTCAATTGTCTGGCAACCTCAGTACATTTGGGGCTTCTTCGAAACTACTATACCTTCACTTTCACAACATACAGGCACAAGCAATGAAATAAATACTGCCATTTGTCACCAACATTTTATATCTGTCTATCTCTTTCTTTTGTATTTACTCCATTCTCCATGCATCAAGTATGTCCTTTTAGTTTGCCCTCCTGTTCAATTGAATGTCTTTCTGCATCTCATTTTCAAACGTCTCCATCAGACAGTACGTGAAAAATAAAAAATAAAAATTACAAACATATATATTTTGGGAAGTCTATTTTATTGGTAATTATTTACATGCCTTTAAAGTGGAAGACTAAAATCCCTTATACAGCTTAGTACTTACACTTGTATAATATTCATGAATGTAGTTGATGCAAAGCATAAAGTTTAATCATTTACAATTTCTTGTCAGCTCACTTCAAGTTATGCTAAAAGACTTTTGATCATTGGTTGTCGGTGGTTATGTCTTCTTACCAATTGTGTGTAACCCTCTCACGACTCATTACCCTTTCCTCCACTGCTTAATAAAAACAATCTTCCTATTATGTAAGCCTGTTATTTTATGTTTAAATTTTTTATACAGCATATAGTTTCATTATAATACACCGACGCCCAAGAGGAGGAATTTTCTCCGCCGCCTAAACTACGCGAATAGTGATCTGTTTATGTACATGCACATAACCTCCTTACCAGAAGAAAAGAAGATATTCATCATGATCATATAGATTCCTACAATGGGTATATATGACGAATCTACCATACTGCAATACAATCTGAAGAAAGAAACAGCACTTAATTTTTTTTGCTGCTGCATTTTCATTTGATTCAAAACGACACATGTTATACAAATCCTATATGGATTATGAAGAATATATGTACAGATGTGATCTACAGATGTGGTCGAATCATTAAGTTGTTTTACAAGTAAATCAAGATTCATATGATGATCAGTAGGCCTACCTATCATCCCCTAAACATGCTAAAATTAATGTTCATTTTATTCGTCGTACACAATCCAATCATAATATTTCCTCTAACTTCGCTGCAGCCATCAAACACTTCTCCTCTATGAGATACAGTATGTACAAAGGCAAGGCCAAGGTGCGTCCCATACTTTACCATGTATTTTTTAATTGTATTATGGAATTGTCAACGTGAATTGATATCGTGTTAAGAGCTCAAATATATTGACTCAGGTCAAAGATATTAGATTGCATTTCTCACCAAATCAGTGAGAGTTGTTTTGTTTGAATGTTGTATTGCAATTCCACTACAAGGCAAGCCTTATACTTTATCAAGAAATAGTGAATTGTATTATGAAATTATGAACATGACTTGACATATAATCATATAATCATATTTGATGTTTTGTCTGATTCTAGCTCCATTAGGGCTATCAGCTTGATACAGTTATCCTATACACTGATATCTTAGATGTGGCCGGTCACGTATGGGACTATAGAGCCCGGACTTGACCAACAAATATAAAATGCATGCACTCGAGATTTATGTACATGAATACATACATTTCCTCAATTATATTCACCTTTTTTCTTGGTTATTACATTTCGAGTACGACCTATATACAATTCCTATCCACAGATGAACAAATGATAAATGATTCTTATTATCATTCACCGTTTTCATTAAACTGAAGCATTATTAAAGCTAACACATCTTCTCAAAGTTTCTTTCTTTTTACCATGTCATGTGGATTTTCTATTTTTCTCTCATATTTTCTTTCCTTGGAATTTAATGTAAAGGAAAATTGAGCAACGTTATCATTGTTATACATTCTCATTAATTCAAATTCTGAATACAATCTATAAAGACTATGTTATTATAACTTCACAACACATAAAAAAAAGTTCATAAAAATAGCAAATCAAGAAGAGCACAAGGCTGGTGAGATTGACAACTTAAATAACTATTTTAAATTCGTACGTTTTCCTTTTCTACACGGTGTTTTAGTTTAAATCCACTTTTCATTAATATCTTTCAATTTTTCTAATGGTCAAACAGGCTATCCTGATTTTAACAATAAGTGTGCCATGAAGTTACAACATCGTCACATTACTGATATAGCTACATGTATACACATCTAGATACGGCCGAATAACGATTTAACGATGATTGGATTATATCGTACCATTCTGACATATGCATACGAAGGTGGGTATACATCTGAACGCATAATATCATTTTAAAAACACAAAACTACTAGTTTACATTAACACACAAATACACTCAAAGCTACTGAAATCAGAAACAAGTGAATTACAATCCCTATTTTGTATATAACCTTGTGCATTTTAATTTGAGATACCATAAGTCACTTTTAATAAGCTATTCTTTTGCTACGATTATCTGCCTCAAGCCTAGAAAAAATTGTACTTATGTCACACTCAATCCATGCGTTGTTAAGTGTTGATAGTTATCATGCGCAAAGCAGGTGCATTGCTCGGATATTTTGTAAAACAAACATAAATTTTAAATTTTATAAAGCTTCAGATAATCCCAAAAGTCTTTGAATGTCTTTGAATTCCTCATACCATACAAGGAAGAGCAGGAATGCAAGATTGACATAATAGAAACAATGTTTGCACTCACCGATTTCACTTGGAATAGATACAATGGGGAACTCACTAAAATGAGGAAAACAAAATGTCAGTAGCCAAAATTGTATACCCAGTTGAGCCATCTTGTAGCAAGATTTCAGTTTCTTGTCTTTCCTTTTAATTGGGTGGTCACCCATACTGCCATCTAGTATCAACATTAACCCTAAACACTTGACAACAAAATAATGAGTAAAGTATGCACATAACATGATCAAGCTAGTCATCGATTCAGATGAAAGCAAGCGATTGTATTCATATCTGTAATCACCTCTTGCTCCATTTGCAAAGAAGAATACGACAAAAATACAGAGCACAGTCTTCAATAATGGTGAAAAAGGTCTGAAGCCATGAAAAAAATTATCTTTCTCCACTTCCAATTTGGGGAGATCAGCCTCAACCTCTCTGCAGGATTCAAGGATATCATTCTGGCACTGAAACGCTGAGGATGCCTCTACCAAGCTACCGAGTCGTCTTCCGCGGCATGCAAGCTCTTTTGGAGTTGACTCAAGCAACAATTTAATCTCTAGATTGGCGCTTTCGCAAGCTTGTTGACCGACCAGTAGTTTCGATTCTGCCTTCTGTATCTTACGATTCCTCTTTACTGCATCTTCTTGAAGACCGGTACTAATACAATGCTGAATTTCCTGGATCCTCTGAATATCAAGATCGGCTTTTTCTTTCACAAGTTTCAGCATGTTGTCCCTCTTTCTCTCATGATTTATTATATTCAGCTGTGCCTCCCATTGGATTCTGTTAATTTCTTTCTCCAGGTTTTGTGCGATTTCTTCCTTGATTTCTTCAACAACTTTATTCACCAGTTTAGGGGCTTCTTCAATTTTTCCTAGGGAACTTTCAATATCCCGTCGTAGTTCTGACAGCCTCTCTGCCCTCACGCCGACCTCTTGCAGTTGCTCTGTTAGGTCGCGTCGAATTTCTTCTCCAAGCTTTAACACATCCACCACCTTGTGACCTTGGTGAACATCGACTGCGCATTCGTTGCAACAACCACGCTGGCACGTTTCGCAAAAGATATCGGCCTTACGGTCTAAGTGAATGTCGCAAACCCATTCTGGATCGCCGATGTCTTCTCGTCTTGCTTGCGGTATGTCTTGGAAGCAATCTTGGCAGAGGTTCTTGCTGTCTCGGACAGAACATCTCATGGTGCCTTCGGTGGCGTTCCCGCATTGCTCACACGGGGAGGGCGCCAAAGGATCACTAAATGCTGACGCCATATCGAGCTATTCTCCTCTGATCTGGTCGTTGTGTAAATGAGCATTCAAGCAAACACATTTGGTACTTCCAGTTGTGATGTCACCTAACAGAAAAAAACAAGAAGAATAAAAAACATACTTGATTACGAGATGAACACTTTTGTCCATTATTTCATCAAAATGTTATTGATTCCTAATTCCGTGACATATTAAAAATTAACTCATGATACAACCTAACAAACACCTCTTCATTAAATTAATTCTGGTCCTTTGTTTTCTATTAGAAGAAAAAAAGGCTGATAATACAGTTGTATAAGTTTTAAAATGATATGCCTACGAGTTACTAATCTTCCTCATAATATCGCAGACATATTCCTTTAAAAGATAGGTATTCTTCAATTTCGTTCAAGAAATCTTGAGTTATCCTTAAGTCGAAAACAAAATTCATATGAAAATACACCTTCATATTAATGTAAAACTGATATATAATGAGCACAGAGAGATAATGAAAACGAGCTGGTAGTACGACCATGTGCACGACACAGGTTCTCAATGCTGAAAGTCAATTGTGCTTTCCAGCAAATGAGATTTTCAGAAAGTTTCAGGTAGCTAATTAACACTTTCTACACCAGTGTTTCTTTAAAAATTCAAGAAAAATTGTTGTGGTTGGACGAGTTTAATACATTTTTGTAGGTGTTTTTTCCCAACAAGTAATAACATTGGGAAGGAAGTCGGAGCGTATTCTAGTAGTATACTAGACTTTTCTTGATCTGCCAATCAATCATGCTAATACTTAGTCAGTTCTAATACTTAGGCCCATTTCCGAAACATTCTAGAATATATTTCACCAGAGACCCTTAGATCTATAGTTATACGAGCTAGACTCGAGAGTCTCAAATTCATCAACTTTAATTGTTTCAAGATGAACATTATAAAATAACATCATTTTTTAAAGGAAATATATGCAAGATAAGAATCAATCAACTTACCTATGTGGTGATCAGAAGAACAAACATACAATGATGTCGTAGTAATACTATATAGCGAGATGTAAACAACCGTCTGCTCAAAGTACACGTCATCGTAAATAACCCTGCCTGGATGGCTCTACACAGCGCCAGTGGGAGGTGGGAATCCCCGTTTTAGATACATGTACAAACAAGAGAGGGCGCTTCTCCTCACACGAAAAGATAGCAGTCGCATTTTTAGGTCTATGTTTTGTTTTTAATGTGAGCGGAGCCTATTGAAACATTTTTTCAGATCAGGATATTCTATCCTACAAATTAAAATAATCAAATGAGATAAATCAATTGAATAAATTGAAATAAGGTAATGCATAAATATTTCTGTATTCTGATTTTGCGTTACATATGCTATTAAAAAAAATTGAAAAAAATAAATCAGTTTTTGATTATTTATTGGCCTGCCCCGATTTTCTATTTATTTGTAATTTTTGTTCTAACACTTGTTTTTTTGTTTGCATTTGTTTATTTCGTTTCGGTTATATATATGTTTTTAAATCCTAAGTTGAATGTGATTCTTCTGAGAGACAGTGAATCACTTGATTGACCCACAACAACTCTCAGTGAGAATCTGCTGTGTCAGCACATTACACGAATATGGGTGTACAGGACTACTTAAAGAAAAGTAAATTTAAAAAGAAAAGTAAATCAAATGGACATTCGATATCATGTAGGATATTATGCTTTACACAGACATTCAATTTCAATCATCATACATTGTTTGTACACACCTGGATCGCCTAGGTTCTTCGGGCATGTTACCGCAGTTCTGATCGGCGTGGAGTAGGGCAGGCGCAATGCGGTTTAAACTGCTGAATAATCGCGGTGCTACGCCAGCAACAAGCGGGCACAACCGCTTCAAAGTCTCTCTCACTGATGTCTCGCCCGGTGTCTCGCACAGTAGACCTACAGCAGTCAGATCAAGCCGTGGTTTTAGACGCTGTCAAATGTAGAACGTATTAAAAGATAATCAAACCCTGTAAATTTGTATGACTAACTGATATTAAAAGCGGATATTTGATAGTAGTGGCATATTAAATTGAAATAAACTGGAGGAAAATACTTACAGAACTAGTTGACATATTGAACACAAATCAAGCCGAGAAATATCCAGTTTGTCGCCAGGATAATGTACACACAACCCCAAATACATGTATTCACTGAGATTTTAAGCATCGACAGATGCTGCTTTCTTTTTTTGGATAATCGCCCAAACTCCAAAATTGCAGTGATGCGATGCTTCATAAATAGCTCTTGTTTTCCCACCTGAGACTGAGACTTGAGCTTCCACCTGTCTTTTTAATGGAACGCGCCGTTGGTGCATAGATTGCATAACATTCCTGAAGACGTACGTACACATTAGCTTTTATATACGCCATTTTCGTAATGTAATTAAACTTAATGCACAAATCTCTGTTACGTGCTTCGTTACATATTATTTCATTCACCCGTTACGAATAATTGTAATTCAATAGACAGAATGCAAATGAGAAGAGAAAGAAGAAGAAGAAGGAGAAGGAACAGGAGAAGGAGAAGAAGAAGAAGATGAAGAAGAAGAAGAAGAAGAAGAAGAAGAAGAAGAAGAAAAAGGAACAGAAGAAGGAGAATAAAAAGAAGAAGAAGCAGATTGAAGACGAAGAAGAAGAAGAAGATGAAGAAGAAAGAACAGGAAAAGTATCAGAAGAAGGAGAAGAAGATGGAGAAGAAGAAGAAGAAAGCAGTAGGAACAGAATAAGAAGAATAAAGAAAATATATGAAATCGACAGTATGACAGCCATTCTAGATTCTAGATCAAGGATGGACGACCCCCCCCCCCCCCCCCCTCCGAACCATGTTTGTGAATGTAGCAGTTTGGGTTATTATCTAAAGTCCTCTTTAACCTACCCAATTTAAAGGATCAGGAACAACTATTTCTAGTTGCGATAAGTTCAGATTACTTTGGAGGACGAAATATGCTAATATATAAGATCCAATTTCGGTACCGTTACGGAATATTGTTTACAATGGTAATATCATCATGTAACCTCAAAGTTATACCAGTCAGTATTAATAAGTTATGCGAGGTTTAACCCCCCAAAAGAACGAAAATGAGAATAGCATGTAAGTATACTGCTTATCCATCCAAGTTTTGTTGATAAGTACTTCGTTAAACGCGTTCAGTTTTCGTTGGTGGCGGTAATTCTTGAACGAGCGAGGAGAGAAAAAGAAAATAAGAAAAGAGAGAGAGAGAGAGAGAGAGAGAGAGAAAGAGAGAGAGAGAGAGAGAGAGAGAGAGAGAGATTGAGAGAAAGGTGGTTTCAGGAAAGATCCATAGTTCTACCTCGGAGATTATATTTGGATCAGGTGCAATTTACAATAAATGATAACTGAACAGATTATGAGGTAATGGAGGGTATTCAGTGAACATTGACTGGTCTGCGCGGGGGGAAACATAATATATATAGAGAGAAAGGCGGAAGAAAGGAATGAGAGATAAAAAGAGAGAGAGAGAGAGAGAGAAAGAGATGATTACAAACTTGTCTACGTCAGACTTACAAAATATAGACTCATCGCTCATCACAATAGATCATGACCCCAATATTTTTTTCGGTCGCTAACTTTCAAAAGAAACATGCCGCGTTCTCTTCAAACTTACTTTTGTCAACTTACGTTGTATCATAATAGTCCATGCAAAAATACCTTTTTTCTTCTTTTTGCAAAATAGAAAAACATTTTTATAGAGCTAATAGGGGGCATGGACGAAATACGAAATGCAAGGTAATATAAACTGAGAGCATAGTAAACTTGAAGTTATTTTACGTTATTTTCCCATCTAGATTATATTAATCCCCCTAGCCTCCAACCCCTTTTCCTGTCACTCCCATCTCCCTGTCTCTAATCTCTCTCTTCTCTCTCCTTCTCCTTTTCTGCCTTTCTATCTCTGTCACCTTCTATCTTTCTCTCTCTCTCCCTTTGTCTCTTTGTCTCTCCCCGCCTCACCCTTTCCCTTTTCTTCCCGTCTCTCTCCCTCTCTACCTGCCCTGTCCCTCTTTAGCTATCTGTCTCTCTCTCTCTCCCACCCTCTGTCTCTCTCTCTATATCTGTCTGTCTGTCTCTCCCTTCAATCAATTTCTTGTATTAGTTACTCAATTCTCTCTGCATCATGTATGCCCTTTTATTTACTTCTTCTCCTGTTCCATTGAATGTATTTCCGTATCAGATTTCTCAACGTCTCCATGAAACAGCATGTGAAAAATAAAGAATAACATTTACATGCACATAATCTCCTTACTAGAAAAATGTGACATTCATCCTGGGGGTGTTTCACAAAGATCCTAAGTTGAACTTAACGATTATGGAAAGCCGTTAGCATCCATGAAAATATTTTGTAAAAGTTATTTTAAAAGGCATTAAATGTTGATTCAAATCATTCATATTTCTTATTATTAAGGAGATTTCATGTTCTTGATGTGGAATTAATACAAAGTCTAAAAATACTTGAATATTCACTTTTGAATATATATTTGTTTAAGGCTACAAATGGCTCTCAATAGTTCTTAAGTACAACTTAGAGTTAATTTCGATTTAATCATAAAGTATGTATACGAGGGATGGAAAACAATTCCTCTTTGGTTAATATCGAACGGAAGTGACGCGATCACTTTTCAACTCGTAAAAGGGTGCCGTGACTTGCAAAAAAGGGGTTGAAAAACGCTTATCTAGAAGACTAAAGACGATTGCCCCCCCCCCCCCATGAATGAACCCATGCTACGCCACTGGCGTTTGATATAATAAAGCTAGTAATTCTTGGCTAGTGAAATAAATATCGCCTTCAATCATTGCAACTCTAAATCGGAAATTTGTGGTTGGTATCATTACGTCAATTCTTAGGAAACATAAATTAGGTTTATTAAACTCAACTAATGTTGTACTGAGAACTTTCCATGTGGGGGCACATTACCATGGAAACTGAAGGGTGGATATACAGTGATTGAGGAGCAAGAAAATAATCAAAGATAATTATGAATAGAGAGGGGTGGGGAGGAAGGAAGAGAGAGAGAAGAGAGAGAGAGAGAGAGAGGTGGAGGGAGAGGGAGATAGTGGAGTGGAGGGGATGGCAAGTGTGTACGAGAGAAAAGTGAAGCAGTGTTTGATTAAAATGTGAGGAAAGAAAGAAATGGATATTCATGCGATGTTATAGTTTCAGCGAAGGGGAAGGAAAGAGAAATAAAGGAGAGTGAAAAGAAAAGGAAATAATAAAACAAAAACGCAATGCATAAAAAATAAAACACAATGAAGATTATTTACAGAGAAAATGACAGAAGGGAGTATTTAGGACGCGTATTTAGTGAGTAATAATAATAATTATAATAATAATATATCAACGTCATGGGATTCCCCTTCCAGTTTCATTAATAGAAAAGTCCGTATTCAGCTGATGATCTATGTATTCTGGAATATAAATATTACTACTTACTTACTTCATGTGATATTGGATCGGTACATTGCTGACAGTCATGATAATGTTGATTACTTATACTGATGAGGAAAACAGAGAGAGAGAGAGAGAGAGAGAGAGAGAGGGGGGGAGAGAGAGAGAGAGAGAGAGAGAGAGAAGAAGAAGAAGGGGTGTGTGAGGAACAGTGAAACTTCAACGTTTTATCACGCAAAAAGAAAATAATAGCAAGGAACTGATGTAATTTCATTTTCACTGAATCGGGTTTAAAACGCATCTGGCAATTCTGTTGCCATGGCTACCTCCCTGTAATAAAAACATAGAATGGCTGCCAGTACTTAGCAACTCTCAGGTTAATCCAACTTTTAAAAAAACTTCTTCTAGCTTCATTTCGAAATAAATCTCGTTTGCTAAGACCGTTGGTGGCCATTGGTTCCCGAAAAGCCAAAAGCTACAGTTTTATCGACTATAGAAACTGAGACGGTAACCACATTCGTTGACTCAGATGTTTCTATCTAGGGTTGACATTATAGTCTTGGCGGTTGGAAAAAATAGATGACCACTTTTAACCGGTATTGAATATTTATATTTTTTGTTGAGTTATTTGTGCTCTGGAAGAAG